GGTAAAGATGAAAAATTCTGTAAATTAATGTCAGTTTTGCTAAATTGTTTGTGGCTGGGACCCCCCAAATGAGATTTCCCCAAAAAAACAACCTTTCCAGAGAGCTATTTGATGTCTTTCATTTAACAGGACTATTTTATTTTGGGAGAGGTGGTTAGCTGTGTTAGTCTAAAATCATGCAGAAGGCAGGGTAGAGATGTGCCTTGTAGGGTGCATCTACACATCGCCATATGGCAGCGCTGCTACAGTGCTGTGCTTTAGTACTTTCTTTTAGAAGTACTCAAGCACGACGTAATAACCACCATGCGCACACAGTTCGATTTCATTGCTATGTCACCATAGTGGCACGCTAAAACAGGGGAGCACACTGCTATGGTGACATAGCTGCTGATCACACATAGACCCACGTGATCACTATGGCACCATAGCATGCTGTATGGTGACATAGTGCATCGCTACATCGCTGCACAGCGACACATCTGTAGAGTAACTAAATCAGAGGCACATAAGTTTTCGTGAGCCTGAGCTCACAGCATCTGATGAAGTGAGCTCAGGTTAACAAAAACTTACACATATCTGATTTACTTACTTTGTAAAGTGCATCTTGACTCTGCCTTCAATTTTATTTTGTGTATTTCTAAACAAGAGTTTTGTTCCAAGTCAAAAATTTTCATTTGCTTCAAGATAAAAAAGATTTTCAGCAAAAAAAAATCCAAAAAATTCTGTTTTGGACTTGAAAATATTATTTTTAAGTGCCAGCAGATAAAAAAACTAACTTTATTTATGAAGTTTAAGCCGTGGGGATAAATCTTTGGTTGGATCCTTTAGAAATTACTGTAAAATAACTGATACCAATAGTATTACTCTCCTGATGCTCTAATTAGAGTAAAAACACATCCTGCCACATGCTGTATAAACACAATGGTAGATACTGTCTCCACCTTAAAGATTTTAGAGTCTAGAATATTAGATTAGTATGGAGTTAGCAGTCTGCTCTTCCATGTTATGACACGAGGGGGGAAAATTACATTTGAAATTACTTTGAGCCATTGAGGGATTAGTTCTGTGCACTTGACTTATTAACTGATTTTGATTTTTTCATTTTAAGAAAATGGATACATGGCATGCAACAGTCAAGGAGACATGGATAGTTTGTCTGTTAGTGAATGGGTTCTGCCACTAGATTGCTGTTTGCTGCGTGGGGCTAATCATAGAGAATCATAGTCTACACATCACCCTATTTTGCCATAGCAACACACTACATCACCATATGATGCTCTACGATGACGTAGCAATGATATGAGTCTACATGTGGTCAGCAGCTACTTTGCCCTAGGGGTGTGCTCCTCTGTTTTAGTGCATTGCTATAGCAAAGTAGTAGTGAAAACTAACCAGAAACCACATGCACAGCATGGCACGGCATTTACTGTGCCATGCTTTAGTACTTCCTTTTCAAGGAAGGGATCTAAAAGGAAGTACTAAAGCATGGTGCAGTAACAACATCACCATAGGGTGATGTGTCAACACACCCATAGAGAAGTAAGGCTGGAAGGGACCTTCAGAGGTCATCTAGTCCAGTCCCATGCCTGAGACAGGATCATCCCTAGATATTCAAACCACCCTATAAAACCATCTTCTAAACTCTACATAAGACTACTGTCAACCCCAGGGCCATCCCTGGGGGCGTGAATCGGGGTGCCTGTCCCAGGCCCTGCATTTTGGGAGGCCCCCACAGAGCTGGGTGAAGTGGCTGCATCCAGCCACTCACTACTCCCCCCTCCACCCCCAACTCCGCCTCCGCCAATGGTGGTAGCAGCTTTTTCAGATCCAGGACACACAGGATTGGAGCAAGGACAGAGCCTCACACGGGCTGATTTGCCCCATGCCCCACACCCTGCTTGTGTTGGCTCTGGTCAGCCCTGATACAACACAGACCTAACACCATGACCTTTCACAGGCAAAGCAGGAGAACCACAGCTGCCAATATCTTGCTTCTATAAAATGATTTCAATATATGCTCAAGAAGTCCCAGGTAGAGGGCCATGCTCCCCACTACAGAGGAAGGCAAAAACCCTACAGTCCACACCCAGTCTAATCATGGGGTAAAATTCCTTCCTGACTCCAAATATGGTGATTGGTTTGACCTCAAGTAGAGGGGCAAGGCCCTCTAGCCAATAATCTCTGGCTTTACTCCCAGGCGGAGCACTGGCACACCTCAGTCAAAGTCCCCAGCCTTGGCTGTAGCCAGCACCCAATGCCTCTGGGAAGGCTTAAAAACAAGAAGGAAATGCATCTTTGCCAAACTGTCCATCTAAAACATAATCTTCATGGAAGCACAAATGAAAAAAATATTTTATTTGGTCATTTTTGTCAGTTTCTTTAAGCATGAGCAAATGTTTTCAATAAAAAAGTGAAGAATATCAGTAAAAAAAAGTCACTTTGTGAAAAGGCATTTGTGAAAATGAATAGATTCAAACAGCATGTATACACTGTGGCACCCAGCTACCAGCAGTGAGAGTAGAGCTACTGAACTTCTGCTGCCTGTACCCTAACCCACGAGAGGTTTCTTTGCTGGATCTGTTCCCACACTTGAGAAGGCACTCCACATTGACTCTCTCTTTACACTGGCTACAGAAGAAGGAACCTGTAATAATAAGGAAACCAGCACCAGGGAGGGGTGTTTTCACGTTCTTCTGAAGTCTCGAGTGTTGGTTTTAGTCAAGGCTGAGGACTGTGACTGTGTTGTATCAGTGCTCCCCTGGGACTTAACATCCCAAAGGTTCCAGACTACAGGGTCTTGCTCCTCTGCTCGGGGTCAGACTGATAACCACACTTGGGTAGGAAGGAATTTTACCCCAAAATTGGATTGGCAGAGACTAGGAAGAGTTGCCTTCCTCTGAGGGCCTGATCCTCTTCCTTTCTCTAACAAATGACTTCCTGTCACTGCACTGGTAGGGCATTGACAGTGCCCTCATCTCTCTGCGTTGCCTTTGGCAAGTTAGAGTGGGTTTTTTGGATGTTTTTTGCCTGATAGTTGTGCAACAAGGTTGTTTGTGCAGTTTAAATAATAAGTTACACAGGGGTCAGCAACCTATAGCCTTGCAGGCTGTATCCAGCTGGAGGCACCATTGATCTGGCTCATGGAGCCAGGGGTCTTCAGCAGTGGTCTGGCAATGGGGGGATTCTGCAGTGTTGGGGTCAAAAAGAAAAGGGCAGTTTTACCCATGCTGCAGCAGCAGGGAGGAGCGGTGGTGGCAGGAGCTGTATCCAGGTCCTAACGCCGGCCTTCCTTGGATCAAAGCTGGGTCATTCCAGCCTACCATCAGAAAACATTGCTGAATGCTGCATTAGACACTTGCGTGGGATGGTTGAGGTAGGCAATATTTTGCCTAGAGTACGGGATTGGATTAGATGACCTCCTGAGGTCCTTTCCAGCTCAGCTCTAGTGTCCTTAGATGCTGAAAACTCTCGCAGAATCGTGAAAAGGAAAAGGAAATGGAGAACCAACAGCAGCCAGCTGTAACCAAGGCAAAGCAATGCACAACAATGAACCCCAGGAAAAACCAGAGGTATTCCCTGCAAGGAATTACAAGTTGGTTCTCTCCACTCACATGAATTTCCCTGGCCCTTACTTTGCACGGGTCTGGCAGAACATTCTTTCCCAATAAAACAAAATAAAAGGCCTAAAGTTTAACCCTTAACTGGGAGGAAAGGTTCCCAAGGTATGAAAAGAACTTTCTGAAGGACTTGGACAGAGCCACAGTCAGGATAATATTTGATAAATGGGTTAGTTTCCTAATCTGTGGAAGAATGGCAATGTACTTTTCCCCTGTAAAAAGGGAGGGCAGAAGGACCAAATTACTGGTCTCAGCCTGACATTTAGCCTTGGGAACATAACTGAAAATGCAGGTGATCATTTGGGGAAAGTACTACCTGATGGGCTTGTGAAATGCATACAGGCTCTGCCAGACTAACCCTATTATCTGCCCCCTTTTTCTTCCCCTAAGTGGATGAGGGGAAGACTGCCAGACATTTAAAAGAGATGGGGAAGTTGCTCTATGTAGCTGGTGTAAGACATCAGAGACACATCTGTACATAATAAAACTCCATCCTGCATTTTCAAAGGCTAATGCTTATATTTGCTTTAAGTCTTTTTCAGTCTGTCGTCTTTGTCTTTTTCTAATTAGCATGGTAAGCTGACCACCAGCAGGTCCAATTAAATGGTCTCAACTGTGTATATATTTTTCTCTACCAGCATGTAGCATAAAATGCCTAAAATATATTGCTTGAACACTGGCAATGAATATTAAATGCTCTCAGACTTGGACTTCCTGTGGTAACTTTCAACCATCCAGTGTTTTATAGCAAATAATGAAACTGGGTTAACAATGAAAACAAGGTACAATCTTTAGCATGGCACCATATACCCCAGGAACATGCTATGTTATGATGCAGAGTATTCAGGGATATTTTTTAGCGTGGTTGGATCTGTCTGTGCGCATGGAGTTCCCTGGGTTTGTTGTCTTAGGTCCTGATTCAGCCAGACATTTGAGCACAGCCTTGATCCTACTGACTTCAATGAGACTTAAGCACATCTGGCGTATTAAGGATGCGCTTAAGTGCTTTGCTGAATTGGATCCCTAGCAGACCCTCATGAAAGGAAAGTGATTTTCAATCTAATAAGGTTATTTTAGTGTGAACATTTTAACTCCATAAATCAATATGCCCATCAGTAGTAAATGACTAATGGGATTTGTCTTTCTTTTTCTTTTTTTTTTTTTTTTTTTTT